TCTCTAGCAGCGAGCCGCTTCTCTCTTTCCGCCCCGCGTTCTCTTCCTCTTCTTTCTCCTTCTTCCGCCGGGCTCGCCTCGCACGCGATTCTCGATAATTGATTCGCTGACGAGACAGGACATACTCCTGTCGGATCCGCGCGCCCGATACAACCCACGGAAAGAGATCCCGGGGTGTGCTATTTGTCTCGACGTCGTGTTTCACGCTCGATAAATCTCGCTCTCGGCCACTGATAAATAATTCCCCGCGCATCGCGCGCGGCTTCGTGCGTATTACGCAATCATCGCGATTATCTTCTCCCGCTGCGAACGAGTTGCGAAGTCGCCGGGGAATAAAATTGGCAATGAAATCCTCTCGCTTCGAGAGAATGTTAAACGCAGATATCCCGTTATATATATACGTAATATCTTTAAACCTACTTACGAGCCGCCTTTCCTCGACGCCTCTCCTCGATCAATCTCAAATTAATTTTCCTAAAATTATTTCCTGTTCAGTATTCAAAGTTTCGCAAATCGATTAGAAACATGGGAACGGAAGCACGCCCGAGTTCTATCTCTAAACCCTAACTTGAGAAAAGACAGATGACTCGAAATTTAATTAGTAAAATGTCTTTTCTCTCTCCACATTTTTATCGTTGAAGATCGATACGTAAAATGGGAAGTCACTTTTCCATTTTTCGTGCGTGCATTAAGCGACCTTCAAAAGGCTAGAATCTATAATTTAAGAGTCTCTTCGGAGAATGCATGTAACATCGAAAGAATCAGCCTTGTAATCTCATAAAGGGCGGGAAGCCCTCGGAGCGTCGGACTTTACGGCGCCTCTCAAACAGGGCTCAACTTTGTTTTCGAGATGGGCGCAACCGATTATTATAAAGCACGAGGTGCGCGATTAAATAAATGATATGGCATTCCTCTCTCCGTCGCGACGTCAGCGAGAAAACATCGATATCGACAAAATTCACCGATCCAAAAACCAAAATTTGATGGTTGCGCCCCTGAAATCTACTTCTGAGAATCGCTTATTTTATTGAAAAAAAAAAATCTTTGATATTGCCTCAAGAAATTCGTTTGATGGTAACTTGTTTCCATCAGCCTGAACATTTCACTTTTTAATAAAGTTACAATAGAAATTTCCAATTCCAATTGTTCTTGTTAATTTTTATTGTTATAGAATCATTTACTATTTTATGTTTATGATTTAACGAAAAATTGCGGATGTGAAATCTCTCTTGCCGGATTAACATTTATACCGAACGAGAGGTGGAGAAGAGGACGACGTAAAACGTAACCTTTCATCGAGAACTTCATGGAAGGCGAGGGTAATAAAATGCGATCGAAATTTGCTGCGTAATTAAACGTACGAAACGCTCCGTCGGCGTGATCAGAGAGGGAAAGAGTTAAAGGACTTATTCATTAATTAATAAATGAACGGCGCATTTCCCCCCCCTCAATTTTCATCAAAGATATTTTCGTTTTGTGTGTTGAGAGATGAAAACAAGAGTAAATACCCGGAAATCATGGATCTTACGAGGCAATTAAACGTAAAACCTGCAATTTGACTTTAAAAAAGCGGCGTATTTAAAAACTCCTTAATTACTTCACCAACCGATATGTTCGCAAAGTGGACGCAAATGGCCGGATATTAAACGCCATATCAAAGCATGTTGCGTCGAGAAGAGTGACAAGAGTCTCTAATAATAAGTACAGATCATGCGAGAAAGTAGCAAAAACTATAATAAAATCATCCTCTCCATCTCTATGATTAAGAAATAAAAGATGGAATTTATCAGCCCTATTTGATACAAAACGAGCTACTCAGTGTGAATAATCCTTCACTTTGCGTGTATTATATATATATATCTAATGATACACACGCAAGAGAGACGCGTAAAAACTTAAAAATACCACCAATTATGGTTATCCGAAACAAACACCTGCCCTCCGGTAAAACCAGTATTGCTTATTACAAATTAACTCGGATCTGCCTCAGTACACATCGCAACGAATGCGTGTATGCCACGCGCATCAAATAGGTATATGAACACACCGAGTATACAACACACCACTTCGCATCGGAGATTCACCTCGCGTTCTCCTCGAGCGCAAATAATAAGTCCTCCGGCAGGAGATGCCGGAATCTCGCGAGAAGACGCGTGCGAACGTGGACCATAAGGGCAACGCGCGAAGATATGCACGATGCCATACGATATCGGCCGTATCGAATGTGCTTAATGCCGTGTAGGAAAAGAAAGAAAGAAAAAAAAAAAAATGCGGTCCATCGCGCCACCACCCAGGGAAACGGGCGGCGAGCGACGGCGCGTGTAAATTCGTGCCACTTACACGGCAGCCATCGGATCGGCTCGGAGGCCGAGAGGCTCCCAGGAAATTCCACGAAGCCACGAATTAGTGTGAAACCATCGGTACGCCCGGGGGCCGGGCGCGATGCACGACTATACACCGTCCATAGACCGGTACGGAAGGTCCTCGGAAGGGAAGGGGGGGGCTGACCCCGACTGCCGCCGCCGCCGCCGCCGCCGCCGCCGTCGCCGCTGCTGCTGCTGCTGCTGCTGCACGGTCTGGTGACCGCAGCACGCGACACCATATGGTCTGCCGTGACCTCCGTGCACACACAAACACGAAGGGGCCTCGGCTCTTCGTGAAACCCCCGAAAAAGACTCGTGGAATTGCGGGGAAACCGAATCGGTTGCCGGTGCACCATCCTCGAGTGTACGCCCCTTGCCGGAGGATTGCCCCCTTCGGGTAACGCGACGAAAATTCGTATGACGCGGACCCCCGAAACTCTCCCCGGAGAAACAAGAACAATGTAACGCGGATGCACAGAGTGCCACCGGAACCACCGGATGTGGTTCTTTCAGAACCGAAGATATCGTCGCCCGGATTAAGAAAAAGCGGTTGCTTTGATGTTAATTGTTACCGAGACTCCCTTGCTTTTGTTGACAAGAGACGAGCAATTTTCACATGTCAGCGTTAGTACGAGAAATTTAATCGACTTCCTCGTCTTTTTTTTTTTCAGATGTTTGAACTTTTAGAAAATTTCTCGCTGTGAAAAAAAAATCCGATTTGCAAAATCTACGATTGAGAGTTCACTCGGCGATTCTCTGGTATAGATTCACTCCAATAGCCAGGATACGATCAAACGCAGTGAACACGTTGATTACGGGAGTCAGTGACCCGTTGTCGGTCCGAAAATTACGAGGCGGACCGCGGGGCGGCCCTTCGACGGCACGGAGGGTTATTTATTCCCTTCGGAAACGGCGCGAAATGTTTTTTTTAACACTGCCACCGGCGGCGATGACGACGGGCGCACGTTCGAGAGGGCTCGGAAAGGGAGGGGAGGGAGGGGGGTGAACGCGGGGACAGCGGACGGTGCTAACGATAAGTGAAATTCCCGTAGGAGCCACTTGGGACGGCGGTTACAGCACCCTCGAGAATGCCGTCGATGCCTATATCCTAATAGAAACGTAATCGCGTAGTTTTGCCCGCTGAATAAATTATCGCTAGGGCTTATACGAAACGAGGGATCGCCGTATCCGCGTTTAGATTAGCGACGATCTTCGCCGTTGGGACACTCTTGTGGATTTATTTCACTCCCGACACGACTTCGCCCCCTTATTTATTATCGTTTCCATCTCCGCGACATCATGACGCGATAACAGAAGTGACCTTGCTCTTGTCAAATAATTATAAAGATTAATTGTTTTTACATTGTAGCATCTTCTCGGAATTATACCAATATTGAGAATAATAATTCGAAATAGCTAATTGTATGACAAATGGAGCGATATAAATAATTCGGCAAATAATCTTACTTGAATAATCGACGGAGAGACTTATTTTCTTTTGTATTTTGCTGTGACATCTCCGAATTTATTCGGCAGAAAGAAACGACGAGGAACCTTGACGATCCTACGATTTATCCGTTAATAAATCAGTTAAATGGATATATCGAGAGGATTTACACAGCTGGTGGCGTGTTTGATCACGTCGGAAGACAATTTGCTTCTTTTTGAGCAAAAGTCACGCAAAGCGAACGACAAATATTGAATTTGTTACGATCGATCGATATTATACCCGTTTGCAAAAAACCGAAAGTTTTCTCACTCTCTATCTCTCCCTCTTTCTCTCCCCTTTACAGGAACGCGTATGTACGTCATTTACAAGCTGTGGCGACTCGCTGGTTAACACGAGACTCTAAACAACAAATTTGACGCGCCAGTGCGACTCGATTGTTGTTTAATTTCGCGGATCCTTGTTTACGCGAGATGAAATATTGAATTACAAACTGTCGCCTGTAATCATACTCCCTCGCGATTGTAATGGGTATCGGATTTTCAATGTATGTATATACGTCTCTTTATCCAGACAGCCTGTTAACTATTCCCCCAGATGTATAAAACGTACAGATGTGTAAAAAGATACAAGTTTGATTTTATTACTTCATTATAATCGATTATTCCCTTATTACACATCGGTATTTCACAATTCTACTACGATAATTCTGGCGATTTTCATTAAAATTCTAACAATTTCAAGTAATTTAACAAAAAGCTAATACAAAAACGATATCGCAATAATTTTCGAGTTATATACGTTGTTGATCAATGGTATCACGTAAAAAAGTTTATATGTTAATGTCATAAAATAAATATATAATATTTAAAAAAAAAAATAAACCCTTTCCTTTCAAATATACATTTTTACAAACTGCCATAAAAATGTATTTATATATTAAATATTTTGTCACGCGGATAAATAATTATTTCTGTAACAAATAATGACTAATTAGTGAGACACTTACCTCATGACTGTTCTGCCAACGCTCAATTCCTTCCTGGACCTCCTTCTCCTCTTACTACTTTTTTGTTTCTTTATACGACCCTCAAATAAAATTCATTCGTAAAAATATAATTAATTACAATTGTACTTCGTACGATTGTAATTAATTATATTTTCATGAATAAAAATCTTTCAATGTTTATTATACGCGTTATATATTTTGTAATTAAATTCAAAAATAATTCAAAAATAATTTCGGTAATTTCACTCCGACATCGCACGATACAACACGCTTAGTGAAATCCACATATTACTTCGGTGGGTCTCAATCTAAAAATAGTAAACGAATTTAGGTCATTAAAAAATTTAAACCGCGATGTGAAATAAATTCGAATTCGAGCAGCGATGAGGAAATAATTATACTGCCCGTAAGTAAATTATTCAATAATTTCTACCTTCTATCGTTTCATCCACCGCTGTAAGGAGACAAATAATACTAGGAGCGCTAGCTTCAATGAGTAACCGTTATTTCTTTATGCGAATTATTAATTGCGGAAGTAAAATGATACGCGCTAAGTATTGGTAGAAATCGCATTGAAAGTCCTTTGATACTCACACAAGAGATAATAATACGACACATGGAACGACCCATGCGACACTGCTAGCAGGCTCGAGTCTCACTGCGCAAATGTAAACAAGACGACCGCATCACACACAGTAAACTATACGTCGCAAAAACGAGTGTCAAGCGGTATGTGCCAAATGATCATCTATCTATGAAATATAAAGTATCTATTATAAAATAAACACACTATTTTCTTCCTCGTGCCTTCAATGTATTTTTATGAATTATTACGCATCGAGTCTAACTTTACAAAATAAAATGCGCCTTTGTCTCGATCAATAGAATATTTTTTAGAATATGTCAATTGATTTATCATTACTTTTTAAATTTTTCCGAAAGAAATATAATAATGTAATCTTATTAAATAAATATGTAAATATGTAAACATTAAAATATACTAATATGTAAATTTTATGTGATACCATTGGCTAATTTTAATCGTATATAATTCAAAAATTATTGATTAATTGAATTCTCATTGAACATTTCTGATTATAAATTCTCTTTAAAATACGCCATTAAAATATTGTATAATAAAGTTGTAATATGTCTTCGTTTTAATGAAGCGTTTAAAGTTAACTTTAATTACCATCTAATAAAGAAAGCATTTAAATTTTATTTTAGACGACGAATAGTTTTAATTTTTACTTTATTTTATTCGTAAGCGTGGAACGTTTTGAATGGACGAACTCATAGCTCTTGGAAAAATATCATGAAACGTTGGCTTTTCGTGTCGACTACCATGGAATGGTAAAATCATCATCCTCAAAACGCCGCTCGTAAAAAACGATCATGAGCATTGCTTGAACTCATCCGTAATATCTCACGTCAGACGCCGAAGAAATGTGAACAAAAACTTAATTTACGAGCTTATCTAATTTACGCGTATGAGACGTGATGATCTTTCTTTTTTCAAGACACTCACCCAATGTTGCGTCGCCACTACTTCTCCTTCCGTTCCGTCGAGATTCTGCACAGAGAAAACAAATTGAAGATATCGTTAAAAATGTTGCAGAAACATACAAAAGATGTGTTCACGTGATCGCGATATGACATGTTGATATTCGAATGCAATATCTAAACGCGGCCGCTATCGATCGTGAGATTCAAGAGCTGCCTAATCATTGATCGAATGAGTCACGCTTGTTTTCGATGCCTCTCGTATACATGGTGAAAAAAAAACGAAACTAATGAAGTGAACAATTTAATTTAATAAATAATGAGTTGTAAAATTATATTGTGTCATCAAAATTTTCGATAATAATTTTCAACGATCGCAATAAAAATACAAGTATATAAATGCAAGCATATCGAGAGTATACTTACATCCTTCTTCCTCTTCACAGTTGCGGCACCTAAAATCACAATAGAAAACAAATTTATATTTATAAAAAATAATGCACAGCGACAAAATGCTTGCCGATAATAAAATAATTCAAAACGTAAAGATATGCAAAATTTACGGAAATTAAATCTTTTTTTCTCTCTTCCCCTCTCCTTTCTCAATTTCTGTATTCGTTTACATTTCATTATCTTGATCCTCGATAAAGATAATGCGATAACAAAGGACTTACCGCCAGTAGGATTAGGTAACCGTGCGCCATTGGTACCAACGGGGGTCGCTGGATTCACTACGGGGGTGGGAGTACTCACAGTGACCGGTACACCCCTGGTGGGCGCGAACGGAAAATACGGCGAGTCGGGGGAGTATGTGGCACCCTCGACGCCACCACCGCCCCCGCCACCGCCCCCGCCACCCCCACCCGGCCCCCCGCCCGGTCCACCCGCCGTAGGACCGAATGCACCACTGACATACGCCTGAAACAGAAACCGAAATACATCCTTTTTTCCAATTTTTTATTTTTGCCTCTGGTGCCGACAATTATATAATCGCAATATTGCAACGACGAATTATCGATACAATAATAATAATGATACGAGATGTATCGTCCGTATTGAATAATCTAGCAGAAAAATTAATAATTTTTTTTTCAATGAATATATTGCACGTATAACACATGTCGAAAATTGAAGGGTTTTCCCTAAATTGAAACATTTTGCATTGATGCATCGCATTGATTACGGATAACTGTCACAAGTCATGGAAGAAGAGAGGAAGGATGACAAGGGGGAGTATGCGAAATGGAGGAAATGCGACAGCGATAACTCGGAGGCGGCTTCAATAAATCATCCATCGAAATCAATATTCCTTATCAGCTATGGTTTAACGACTGTCGATTAGATACTGCTCTTTCTCTCTTTCTCCCATCCCTTCTCCTCCCTTTCTAATGTCTCTCGAAAAATTCAAGTATACATCATACCCATTTCATTTCTGCCGCACACAATACAGAATTGTTTGCAGAAACAATGGTTGAATAATATCCCCGAGAACTGCGTCAAACGGATGGCGTGCGAAAAATTCAAATGGTTGAATCATTATCTCACGTGGAGTAACGAGTTAGTGCCAAGGTCTCTCATATTTCGCATATGTATAATGCGCTTATCTAATGCAAGAATCATCGATGCACGACAGGAAATTCTTGTTTCGTGCGATAAAAATTTCGACGAATGAAAAATGCAATAACTCGAAAGTAAGTGACGTGACAATCTTTTGAATTTCAACGAAACGAAAAGGAGATACCGCAAGCCCTTTTCTTGCGAAATACATGCGAGTGACTTGACGCAACTCAAACGAGAAAGAGGGGCGTAAGTAATATTAAAGTCGGAGGTTGACAACACTCGAGGCAGGCCCGCGTGAAAGATCAGAAGATATTTTTTTGATTTCGTTTTACATTGCAATAATTCCCGCTACTGCTATTGCGCATATAATATACTGTGAGTGTTAATTGTTAATTAATTAAGATGATTGATATCGGTATGATAAATGAATGAGAGTTAATTCATGACTAGCAAAGTCACGAAGATAAATTTATATCATTAAGATTAACGAGCCAGTCAAACACACATGTTGATTTTCGCGTTATATTACATTCGTGCCGATAAATAATCCAGTAAGTTTCCAAGAAGGATATTCCTCGCGACAAGGAATGAGAACCGCTCTCCGAAAATATCATCCGAGGTAAAGTTTTGGGATTACATCGGGGAGATGCGTCGGGAGGGAGGGAGGGAGGGAGGGTGCGGAGCGAGTAACTTTTTCTCAGATAAATTCACTTCTACGACTGCAATAATTATTACGGTCCTATTTCTTACATAATCCCGCCTCGTTTAGAGATTCAAGTCGCTGCAACAAAGGGAGAGATCTCGAATATTCCAACTTTTCTCGGGCGCGTCGCCCGAGAAACCCGGGTGCGGAAGGGAGGAAACAAAGGGCGATACGCGCGCGCAAAAAGAAATTGCTGCGATTCGTATTGTCGGCGCGAAGGTCAATATCAAAAGATCACTCACCATTCCGTTGTCTAACGTGGAACCATACGGTGTCTGAAAGCCTGGCTTTTCTGAAACAGATAAAAGAAAAATCTGTGAAGATCAGATTCTATCTGCGGGAAGACAACGTGCTTTGTGTCCAGGGATCGAGCGGATTTATAAAGAAAATTTGTAAATGCAATTCTCGTGTCATTGCGCACAATCTGTGTGTGTGTGTGTGTGTGTGTGTGTGAAAAAAATTCTGTCAAACTGTCGGTCGATATTGATTATTAATTATATGTATAAATTGTAACAGCGTAAATTATATTAAATGCTGTACCAAACGCAGATCGTAACGACACGTATACGGAGCTTTTACATAAATTCAACATTCCGCATCCCGCTCGGTCGTAATCCTTCGGCAAATAAAAGAAGAACAGACGCCGCGCGATACTAAAAGGAAGACAAAGGAAGGAGGATACCTGACAAAATATCCGCAGTATCGGGTAGGGGATTAGAAAAAAAAAAAAAAAAAAAATAATTCCGCATCCCACACACAGTCCCGCAATATTCTTGGCGCGTGAGTCGTTGGGGGTGGGTGAGCGAGAGGGAGAGCGAAAAGAAAGTTCCCCTCTCGAGAGGAGTCGATGTAAAATTAATGTCGGGCATAAATTCGCGATGCGTCTTTATAAATCAAAACCGCGATCGAGCTAAGAATCCAGCACGCCGGAGATACGTACGCGCGCGCGGGGGACTTCTCCAACGCTGCGGCTGATACGCACGCGGAATAAACAACGAGATAAACATTACGAGGTTGCCGCGCACAGTCCGGGGCTTCATCCGTTATTAATGCCCACCCGTAGGAGCGCGAACCTATGCGCGAGGCGCGCCGTGTCTTGCCGAGAATTTATGAGGATCGGTTGGATTTACGTTTCGAAAAAACCGCCCGGAAAGAATTGTAGGACGACGCGTTGCCGCATCGAGATTAATTTTTATTCGACGAGATACGCACCGGCAAGTATTCTCCTCCGTATCACCCATAAGTTCTCCACTTCGTTTCTCTCCCGCCCCCTCCCCCCTCCTTCCCCCACATTATTGTATTATATTAAAATTTGCATCTTCCGTTCAAATGAATTTGTATACCACGCGTAACTCTGTGACATATTTTAATATATATTGAAGAATTCGCGATCTATTTCACAATTTGTAACATCCACGGGGAATGTTTACAAATTAGAAATGAGAAATGTCGATTTAATTTAAGATATATTTCGTGATGTCCTTTCTCCAGATTCTACAATCGAGATTTTAGTGCTCAGTCATCCAATTATCGGATCAAAAAGGTGAAAGAGTGATTTTTTTGAAAAAACAAAATATAATATTTCAGGCAAAATAGTAACCAAAAGTAATATTTTTATCATATTTTTAGAATAATTAAAACCATTTAAGCAAAAAAAGAAAATAAAAGTAAATGTTACTTTTATTTTCTCAGATTTATTTTTGAATAGTAATATTTAACATATCTTTTTATAACGTGATTTAAAAGTTTACAATGAGGAAAGAAAAAGAACTTGAATAATACAATACAAATCAGTGATTGAATAGCAATTGTTATAGACGAGATAACAAAAATATGAATGGAAATGTTTATGTTTTACAAATTTCACGTTAGCTCAAGAAAAAAAGTGACTATAGTAATCCACTTTGGATGATAGTGACTTTTTAGTGACCTGTCAAAGGGAAGGTGACAAAAAGGGACTTAAGTGACTTAAGTGAACAGCACTAACTGATTCGTTATCCTAGAAGATAGTAATATCATATTCCGAAATTCGCAGGGTAGCGATATCGCGAGATTCATATACGGAAACGCACACGCATTGCAGGTAGACGTATTACATTATGGGGGAGGGAGGGAGGGGGGAGGTACAGTCGCGCAGCGTGGACGATAGAGCGAGTGTCCTCGGACGGCACACGATCGCCCGAGATAACTATGAATCCTAACAGTTTCGGCTTGCTCGTGACATGTTTGCCGAAGCGTGCGGCACCGACTCCGCAATATCATGCATCAAAGGACAAGCTAAACCATGGTCCATCGTGTCATCCTCAGAGCCGGCGCAAGCCCGCTCGACCGTTATGACGTAGTGCTGAGCGCCGGGCCTCCATGTCACGACTAGTTCGTCTTCCGCGTTGTCTCTGCCGCCGTCATCCGTTCGGTAATTGTTCGATGAAGAATTAGCCGGGAATGCTGGTTGCGGGTGTCGCCCTCGGTCTGGACCGTACATACGTAGATGCCGAGGAACGTCGCGAGAATTGCGTACGACGACCCGCCGCCGCCAATGGCGGATCGGTATGCACGAGTACACAATTTAACGGTAACACGGCAAATTTTCAATAACTTTTAAATCAATATTAAAATAATGAATTCTAAATGATAATAAATTTTATTTACGATACGACGTAAAATTAAATAAAAATAAATATGTTCGGAAAAAGATATCAAATTTTCTGCTGAGAATCTTTATCAAGGAGTGATCGTTTTTCTCCTTTTTCCGGCATTCGATTTTCCACACACGTTCGGCCGAAAAAATAGCCGGAAATGTTAGATTAATGTGATATTTACGCGGACGGAAGCGGAAAAAGAAGCGGCTGAAAATAAAAGAGGTGAGAAAGAGAAACAATGGCACCGTTGCTGTTCTCTGAAATTTGTTACATAATGCGTATCGGCGATATACGAGGCGATAGTAGTGTGATTTTCAGGCAATATTAATTCGATATTACACCTCACGATTCGTGCGACATGATCTCGAAAACCGTTGTACAGCGAGCGATTTTCGACGACCAACACGCGACCACGGTGTGTCGGTCGTGTTTTGCTCCGCTGAAAATCCACAAAGTACCGATCGCGTAGTAGAAGGCATAGAGAAACGAAGATTGACTATCAACATCATAATTTTATTATCAGTTTCATTAATTCACTGTTACATTAATTTGTACCGTAATAAGATTTAATCAGATATTCTTGGTACTGAATTTATTATCATTATTGGTAATGGATATATTTAATAAAATAATTAAGTCCTTACATAACCAAAAATTAAAATAAGGATAATAGAGAGTAAATAGAGATATACATGAATAATGAAGTATAAATTGCGTAAATTGCGAAAGAAGTTAAATCGATACTTGATTGATGCATATAATTAATTTACTAAATGCATCTATTCTGTCTCTCTGCTCTTCTCCCATAATAAAAATTAATCTTAAATCAAGAAAAATTTTCATGTGTAGGTAGGAATATTTTAATCTTTTTAAAAATTTGAGTTTTGATTTGAATTCATATTGATGTAAGTATTACTTTTGTTCAAAATCTTCTATATGAAAAATTTTCTATATGAAGATTATAATATTGTTGCTTATAAGAATATTTATATTTGTATCAATACTAAAATCTTTCTAAGATTATAATATTCTTGTTTATATCTTGCTTATATGAGAATGTATAATGATTTAAGACTAATTTTCTCTCTCTCTCTCTCTCTCTCTTTATCTATCTATCTATCTATCTTTCTCTCCTTCAAATTCTTCAAAATCTTAAATTAAATCAAGTTATTAAACTTTTGGCCAGCTTCTAACAGCCAAACATTGTCGAATATTCGCGATTGAATAAAAACTGCAACATGAAAAGTCGAGTATCGCGCCGCGTTATTGCGCGACGAGGCCAAAACTGCCGGACACTTTCAACGTTGACGATCTCGTAAAAAGAGGCATTCGCTCGCGTGGAGTGCGCGACATCCCGTAACAAAAGTGCGCGCGTAAAAAAAGTAGAGAACGCGAATGCGACAAAATAGACACGCGGTCGCGGCATCGAAGTACCTCGGGATATCTGCATTTTCGCGGCCGCAAAAATATAGCTCTCGATTGGAGATTTCACGACTTGATGTCGCGGCCGAGATGGGTCGAAGAGGATTTTAACGTTATGCGGCTTGCCGCGTTAAAGGTTTACCGTTGAGCTTAACGACTAATTGCAGGAAAAAAAAAAACACGCTAAACTGTTCACGCAGGGAAAGGCAGCTGCAGACGGGAAGCCGATCCGTTTGTGAATTTTTTGAAAAATCGGGGACAGAGAGTACGTACTAAGGAATACAGTTATACCAGGATTAAGAATGCTCGATCGAGCGTATTTAACATGATCCCGGGTTAAATGACCATCTGGCCTTGCCTCTGTAAAATTGGCAATTTGCTTTCCTCACTCAATTGTCAAAAATTTCTTTAAAAAATATCAGGATACTCCAGAATACAAAAAAGAATCAAAATATCACTGGTTTCCATCAATTATATATCAAAATTTTGGAAATTAAGACTCTTCTGGATCTCTCATTTTATCAGAATTTTATTGAGTCCTATTGAAAAATAATCCGCCATTCAATCAACTCGCAGTAATTTCATACATGGACGAATTATTTCGGTGCGCCAAACGAGCTGAAATCTGTCAATGTTAGACTTGTCCCGTTAAATATCTTAGACTCGTCGAAAAGTAATCCAATATATTATAATAATGAATATTTTTGGGAAAGAGGAGGTGGCCTACATAAGTTTGTCAAATTTATGAAGTCACGAAGAAGAAACGATAAATAATTGTTCGGATAAGAGAGAGAAGTTCAGGGGGCCAGTTTGGACGTAACGAGAGTCAAGGAGACCAGCTCGTGTAATAAGATGAACGGCGCACAGGTGAATCGCGGCAGCCGGTTTTCATGTTTGGACGAAAAATAATTCAGTCAGGTTATCTTCTGCGGCGATCGGTTTGCCGTTTCTATCGTCTCTCGCGGTATCCTCCACCGGATCACCTGCCGAGAATGAGCACGCCGCACGCAGGTTACACGTCGCTCTAGCGCCAAGAAAAAATCTCGCGGGGCGTATCATGGCAAAGGCGGAGCTCGTAAAGCGGTAAAGGAAATAATTGAACACCTGCGCGCCGAGGCAGGCTTAATTCAATTAGCTCGTCCGACAAATGCCCGACACTTTCTTTGTGCGCCCTGATGTAAATTTTACAAAACAGCTTTGCGGAGGCGCCTCGCGTAAATCTGAAGACGCA